ATATATATATATATATATATAAATATATATGTATTAGACAGTAGAAGAGTTTAACTCGAGAGTCTTCGAGTGCGTGTACAAGCGACACTAAAATCGTTTCCGTGGGCTAACGAAATGGCTGTGTTTAGTGCATTGCAACAGTACAGAAGCGTGTTATTTAAGGATGCAGTAAAAAAAAAAATCATAAAAGAGAACTGATAGATAACGAATAGAAAATGGTATAATTTCGGCGACATTTCTTTCTTTTTTTTCGTTTTTTCTTTTGTTTTCTTCTATTTGCTTCGATCGTTTGATTCGATGATAACTCGATAGACCTAACGATGCATTTGTCATACTGTAATATTAAGAGTATCATCGTACAGTTCAATACAGTATATTTCTCAATAATTGTACGGGTGGGTTGAAAATCACAGCGACGTGAGAACCAGAAGATTTGCAGAAATCGAAACCAGCCAGACATTTCAATTACTCGGTTGATCAAATTAAGATTCGTAAATTGGAATCGGATTTTTGCAATTTCCACTATTGAGACGAAACTCGGATCTCCTTCATCAGCTGAATGTAACAAGCGCTTCAATTTCAATGTCTCTTTCGCGGCAGCAATCAACTGGCTTACAACTATGATTCTCACCTTTAGATATTCCCTAGAATTGAAACTGTACGATGATACTCGGAGAATTCTCGTATATCTCAATTATATCGTCGTATATATTGCCTTATTTATTCTCTGCGTTCTTTTCTCAAGTGTCAAGTATCCGTTTCCCGAAAGAATGAACCGCTTCAACTCGACAACTCACCTCTCCAGCTTACTTTGATCGGACACGTGATTGTCTGGTTCTTAATGAGGTATGCGTTCAGCGACGTTAGACTAGGACTCTTCCGCAACGTACCCTCGTCGTTCTTCCACACGTACGTGATCGCCGTTTGCTCGTACGATACTGAAGAAAGATGCACGGAATTGATTAATCAGGTGCACATACATCGACGAAAATAATATCATTCTTCGTACAGAGATTTGGATAAGAAACTCGTAAAGTATTCACTTACTGCTCTCGATCGCGAATGAACACAGTGGGTCATCGAAAGGGAAGATATTGAGTCTACCCTGGCAG